TGTGTTTTCTAAACTAAGAAATTCAAAAGGTGATGAATCACAGATTCTCAAATACTAAAGATACAAAAACTGATGATCTGGTCATTTTTGTGCAGCAGGCCTGGAGGCTGTCCCCTATTTCTGGCCCATCAACAGAATCGAAGTAGTATCCTACAGCTGCAGGATGAGTAAGACCCCAAGAGGCTGCAGGCTGAGTATCAGTCTCGTACTGCAGGTGTGGAGCGAAATGCCCTGTAACAAAGCACTGTTATAGAAACCTCACGTCTAAACATATTGTATTTGCATATTTACAAGTTTCTGTCGAAGCTCCCAAGCCGGATTCAAAAGTTGGACATTGCAATCCTTTTTGTCACTTTTTTCATGCTTTTGTTTTTCTAAATATTTTCACACATGTTTCACGTCATTTAATTTTTCTCGTTTTGTTTTAAGGTGTTTTAAGTTTTGGAGTGATTTTCTGACCATTTCTTATTGACATATTAATGAAAAACCCATCTTAGCTTGAGGACACTCCTAAAATACTTCCAGGATTCTTGTTCAGAAAAAAACAAACAAACCAAAAAAAACAACAACATGGAACTAACTAGCTTTAGACATTAATAATATGTCAGAAAATCCTATAAATGTAACACAATTGCAATTAAACTTTTAGTAGCACTATCCTGTATAGTGTAAACTATGTGTCCCTCTACAAATTTTGTCTTTTTGTTACTGTTCCTTCAAAACCTGGAGATCTTGAAGCAATTGTTGGATCTATGTATTCTGTTTTTTTTTTTTTTTTACTTTTTATTTTCTACCAAAAAGCCCGAATGATCCTATAAATGTCTGCCCATCTGTTTTTGACATTAAAAACCTAAGCTTAAGGACATTTGAACTATGCAGCATGACAGTGGTGGTAAGTAACAGCAACTCCACCTTTGAATGACAACAAGGAGCATTAGGATCTAGCAATGCCCTCTACAAAGTCCTGATGGCGTGCAATGAAACAAGTGGTTCTTGATAAGTAAACCTCAAATGTCTCAAATGAAAATATTTTTTGTTAAAAAGAAGTAGAAAAAAAATCTCTCCAAAACAATGTAATAGATGCCAGTTATCAGAAATGCTCAATTGGATTTATAGTAATTAACATTTGAGCACTGTGCATTGTAATTAGGCCAGCGTTGATACTGAAACTGCTCTTTAGGAAAAACCAGCCAAACAAATGTGCCTTGTACCATGTGACAGACTAAGGGAGGCTATTCAAGTGGACTAAATGTGATGGTACCAAAACTGGCACAAAAATGCATTCTGCATGACTGGATGAAGACAGATGTGCTATATAACACAAAGCATGCCCTGTCCCCTGCTCCCTGAGAACAAAGAGCATCCAGAAGCTACGCATATCAACTACTGCCCTTGCCTCTGGCTGGGACCAAAGGATATACAAATCCAACATCAAACAGGGGTTGTGCTTTTCACAATGGATTTAGATCTTAACACCCTGAAACATCCACATGTTTATCTCAAGATAAGGAGATCTACAGGCAGGTTCCTCGTTCTTCTCAACTTCACCAAATGTAGTCCAGTTATTATAGTGTGCGATTTAAAAGTCTTGGGAAGGAATGTGCAATAACCTTTTGAGAGATCTGGAAGAAAACAGGCAGAAACAGTTGAACACAATAAGGCGTTTAAACAAAAGGAAGCTGGCACACTTTAAACTGGGAGGATGTCGACAACAAGCACCACTTCAAAATGAATGAAGTTATGACACGTAAAATGCCAAAAGGGCCTATTTGCAACACAGCCTAACTACAAATCGATTATTTCAGGCGCAGACTGGACTGCGCATTAATGAATCACCGGGAAATGTGGCGATAGGTGCGAACAGCGACATATTTCAGCTGAGTTTGCCCATTAAAATGTAGGTAGGCTTCGGGAAGCAAGAAGCCTTTTTCCCTTCGAGCTCAGCAGCCCTGTTAATAACACTGATGCTGAGGACAAACCCACATAGGCAGAACGACCAGCATCCTCCTGCTTTCCACTCCCCTCGAGACACCAAGGGGGAAAAAAGCGACTACAGCATATATAGATACATACTATGTTATTTGTAGATTTCTCTCTCTCTCTATATATATATATATACGTATATATAAAGGAGCCTTACCTGGAGAAAGTCATACGTTTGTAAGTCCTTTCCTTTTCAGCCCGAGAGACGGGGCTGGCAGGCAGCGCATCTCTGCTTCACCGACAGCCAGCGTACGGAGCACAGCCGCTGATCACGGAGCCCCGGAACGAGCATAACACGAGGCGAGCCCACTGCGGCTGTCTGGTTGGTGAAAACAGCCCTGCGCGAGAGCCCCTCACCTCACCCCACGGCACGAGACGCACTTGGACGAAGATTAGCAAAGAATAATGTACTGTAGCGGTCCCAGTAAACAAACGTTTGAAATACCTTCAATCTGAGGCGGTTAAACGACACGGAGCCTCAATGGAAAACTTCTGCATGGGGCCTTCAACTTAATGCCTTCGGCCTAAAACATGGTGTGAGCTGGGGGGTATTATGTCTCTTCTACACAATACGGATTTTTGAGCTTTATCTCTCATTCTTTCCTGTATGTTTGAGAAGTCCCTCTCCTCTGGCAGCCATTTGGGGCTGCCTAAACGCTCACTCAAACAATGCGCTGCCCATTTCCACAAAGCTCCTCCTTGGTGCTGCAGTCTCCAGCTGAGCTTCCCCCTCACAGGGCGCCCATACCCTGCGCCTTGCCCACTGAGCTCCACCAGAATAGCAGCAGAAACACCTGGTGGAACTCTGTCCATAATGTAGGAATATAGTTGTGAGGGTAAGTGCTGGAAAGCTTCTTAAAGAGACAGAGGTCAATTTCAAGGTGCCATTTTTTTAAGTTATGTTTAATGTAACATAACTTGATTGAAGGTAACGTAATTGTCATATAGATTGCCAAATACACACTATCACCCCTTGAAATAATTTTTCAAGATTGATGCTGGTTGTTTTGCCCTTTCCAGATTTGGTCCCTGTTCCTAAATGTAGCTAATTGTCACTAAATTAAGTAATGATCCAATCTGCATATTTGTCACCTTGCATAATTAGAATTGGACTGCATGAGAGAGGAATTGATAGATGAGAGAGAAATTTAGAAAAACACACTATACAAAGTTATAAGTCACAATTATTGTTCTCTAAATTATTGTGTGTATTTTTATATGTAAAATGTATGTGCTGGCAAAGGAGCAAACTGATCCAAAGCCATCAAAGGCTAAATTGTACTCAATCGCTAGCAACTCACTGAAAATTTAGGCACAAATCAAATGTCCTCATTCTTTTTTAGCGATTTGTTTCAAGATTAGCCAATTCATTACTGTGGATCTTTGATTTTTGTTTTCTGATTATTTTAAGGTTTGCTTTTCAGGAAGGACATATGTTGTTGCAAATAGGAAAGTTAAAAAAGAAACCAAATCTGACAGTTCAACCAACATTTGTCAGTTTAGTATTTTAGACACAGGCCAACACTGCCACCTTGTGGTAGAAAGACAAGTGACAATTAATTTCAATGATTTTTTTTCTCCTATTTTTGATTTATGACTCTCTGCATTAAGATTCAATACACTATTAAGTGACCTCTTATTTTTAAGCTATTAAACTATTCTAACAAATTTTGTACAAAAATTAAATTGTAAATTGTTTTGGTTTGTATTTTGTTTCATTTTTGTGTTTAATTTTCTCATAATTTTTTGACTTTAAGGTTTTGCCATATTTTAATTTCTTTGTTTTTAATTTCCTGTTTAGTTTCTCTGTTCTGTTTCCTGTGCATTTTGGCTTAGACTTTTATATGACATTTTTCTGTTTTGCTTTGTAGCTCCTTTTGTGTTTTAGTTTGGCTCCCACTGTATTTATTTTAGTTTAGCATCTTTTTCCCTCTGCTCCCTGCTCTGCACTCACCCTCAAATTTGTGGCATTCCAATGATTATGCTCATCTTTTTCATATGCAACCAATCACACCTCTTCAGAAATTAAGCACCCTTGTTTGCTTGTTCCATATTGTCTTCTGATAAGGTTAAATGAACCTAATTGTCCTCTTTGTTGTCATTGAAACCATTTTATCACAGTGCTTCTATCTGTCCTTTTATCCCGCTTCTACACCACAGATTATGACAAGTCTCGGCTGTTTTGTATCTTTAAGAATTTTATTTAAAATTAAAAAAACATTTAAAGCCATTTTCTAAGTTAACTAATAGAATTTAGTTTTTATGAAACAAAATTAAGTAAAAAAAAAATCATTTTCTTGCCTTCAAAACTATTTTAAAATGTGTGCCAGAGGAATACAGTTGACTGTAACGGTTGGGATCTCCTCCGTTTCGTTCCCATAGATTTGCGTCCTGATCAGCCTCCGTATCCTCAGCACCTCGGCCTGAGTTTCCTTGTACCCACTCTCTGGCGTCACTGATGGAAGAAACAAAGAGCCACATTTTAGCCATCAGGGGAAAAAAAAGTAAAATCATAAGATGAGATTGCAGATGTATATATTTTTAAAATGGCCTCAAATCTAGTAACAGTATTTAAGGAAGAAATATATAGAATTTAAAAAAAGCAGAATATGCAGATTTTGATGTATTAGAATATTACTGAAAACTTGATGTATTACATCACTGACAGCTAATAAAATATTTAACACTATTTATTTCAGAAATTTGGGCTCCGTGAAAATTATATACAATACCTGCTTTGAAATTGGTATTTTTTTAAAAGATACATCTATTCTTACAAATAAACTTTATTGTGAAGCATATTCAAATAATTTAATGTCTGTGTAATATAATAGTAAAAATAAAATTAAAAAACGCTTTAAACAAGCTTCAACAAAGGAATATTTCTAACTTGTCATTATTGTTGCACTCTATATATTTCCAAAATTTCATCAGCATTACTGTGTGTTTCTTACCTGATCACTTCAGCGGCCCATTCGCCTCCTCTTCCTCTCGCCGCAGCATCAGCGTTTCCTCTGGCATGGTAGTATTTGTCACCGTTAATACAATTGGCTTGTCTCATGTGCACATAGGCTCGAGCCATATTATGTTTCTCCTATTCAGGAGAAAATACCAAACACTGTTTAGTGATTACAATAATAAAGATAACTTTAAATGTATACTGTAGTTATGAAGTGTTTGAAGCCTGAACAGAACAACACTTCAAACCTTTTGCAGCTTCAACAGGAAATGTGTACCACTGTGCTTCAGTTCCAGTGATGGAGATCAAAATGATTCCTGCCAAAAGCAGCTTCATGGCTATCGATACTGTCACACAGAGGGAGAAAAATAATAATAATAATTTGCAAACATTGGTGTCTGGATACACTGCTTGAGATTTATCTCTAAATTAAAATCTAAACTTACTTTACAGATGCAGCAGATTTCACACTAAAACCTGAACCTAAGAATGTCCTGCAAGTGATAACGATCGGTGTCTTTTATATTGTTTCATGACAAATCTGTGTTTATCTCAAAGCTGGGTTGAGACATCAAAAGTTAAGTAAACATGAAGAAACGCAGTTATTGCACAAACCCAGTACACAAGAAAAAAATGCAAGTGGTTGCAAAAGCCTTTTTTTATAATTTAAATTGGATCCTATCAATTGAACTGCAAATAAAAGACATAAAAAAAATTATTGTTGATATTTTATATGTCAAAAGGTTTTTTCACTTGGTTTTCAGATTCTGATTCATTTGAAAGAGCATGGCATCCTCCCAAGCTTAAAAAACAAATAATCCAAACACAAACACTACTGTGGTCAAAGTCAAGTTATAAAAAAAAAAAGAAAAAGCTTCTATTTCCAATTGTTGGACACACTGGGCTAAATGCTAAATGTCCTTCAATATGTCCTTAAATCAGCTGTCACAATGTATACATTGCTTTAACATAATAATTTGAGATTGTCAACTGGCCTCAGATCAGCTGATCCATCTTGTCTAACGGATTTGTATTTTTATTCATTGCTATGTTAACTGATTTAAGAAACAAAAAGATATTGGGAGACAATAGATGTGGCCAGTGAGCTTTTAAGGTAAACCTGGTTGTTCTGTTTGCTACGGCTGCTATGGCTGAAATTCACATCAGTTTGCATAATGGTTGACTTGTAAACTCTGACTGTTTACAAGAAACTTAAGACCACCATCAACAAGAAATCTAAAGACCAATATTTCAGTATTCAAAGTGAAAAGTCAATTGTTTTTTGTGACACTGACTAAAATAAATTTCCAGATTTTATTTTTGAAGTGCAATGGAAGAGCAACGGCTGACCTACAACAAACAAAAATAATAATAATAAATAAAGAAAGAAAAAAAATGGTTCTGTGGATGTACTTTGTTAAGCAAACTGTTTTGTTTCCTGAGTTTGTACAGCTTGCTCTGTGCTTTAAGCCAAGCATACAGAACAAGTGATCAGTCAAGGCCACATCTCACTGAAAACCTTTGGTCAGAACCACAAAGTTCACAAATCTAGAGTCAAACACAGCTGTCAATGGGCTGCAGGGCTGAGCTCTACAGGTCATTTGTCCCCACAGCCATCAGAATAAAACTATAACTGTGGGTAACTAATGACCTGGCTGATTGTTCTGTATTGTTTGTTGTTTATTGCGAACAACTACATGGTATAAATTGTGTCGTTTTGGATTTTCATTTGTGTGACCGGGAAGATATTATTGACAGAAAATGTGTTGCGCATGTCATATATTAACATTTTGTAATAAAGCTGCAATTCATATGTATAGTAGCCTCAGCAAATCATAGAATATTACAGGCATACTTTTATTTGCAAAAAGAAAGAAAAAAAAACTAATTATTGTGGGCTCACCTTTTTTTTATTTTTGTCACTGCTTTTATTTCAATTGCAAAATATACCTGTTGATTAAGACAAAATCTACTTCTTGCCTTCTCGCATATTAATATTCATTAGTCTCTGTTATTGGACAGTAGGAGTTGACACCAAGATGAACGCAGCTGATTTATGAGCAACACCAGAGGTCGCCAGAGAGCCACGTTCCACGCGTGGCTCCGGGCGAACGTGAATAGTGAGTAAATGCTCCTTATCGGCTGTGCGGGGCTATTGGCTGAAATGGCATCATGATGATAATGAAAGCGCACCGGCTGCTTGCAACAATGACTCCTATGAAACCGGTAAAACGGGCTCAGCACGTGAGCAACAGAATGAATCTAAAGCGCAACTTGGGCAGGTTGTGCGTAAAAGGCGTCCTTTCACAAATTCTCACACGAACCGCCCGTCACTGACTCTGTTCGGAAGCCAATGGCAGGATAAGAGGGGAATGCAGGTCTGACAACAAGAATTGGTGTCGTTCAGTTTTGAAGTGTGCTTTTCACCCGTTATTTCCAGTTGGGCTCAGATTTTGCGCGTCCCTTTTGGTGCCTAAATGAGCAGGAATCAGCTCTATATAAAAAATAAAAAATTAACCACACACACGAAAGCCTCAGTTTATTTCGGTTTAAATGTCAGGATTGGCCCCTGATTGAGGAGCTCCAAGTGAAGTCCGGTTGTGCCGTGATGAAGACCTTTGATAAAACGGCCAGCATCTCCGAGGGCGTGCGGATTCCTCGCCTCATCTCCGAGTAGACGACCTCCTACTGACTTACTTCACGTCACCCCACCCGTCTGCCTGGCGTCTCCTCCTTGAAGCCCTCTCCTCCGACCAGTCCTTTGAGCGAATCCGGGCTCAGACGATAAACATACTCGGAGAGAAAGCGGACAGAGCCACAACACAGACTCTAAAACCTCACCTAGTCTACCTGCTCCAACTGGAGGGGAACAGAGAGGCGGTAGAGGAGGACGCACGGCGCACAAGTGCAGGCGCGTCCCTGTGCGCCAGCTGAACAACGCATCAGGCGGGCAAAGAGAGCAGAAATCAATTGGAATAAGAGTTCACGTCGACAACACTGGAGAAGCGTGCAGCTTAGTTAGAAGACAGCCTAAATGAGTACATGGTAAGAAGAGTCATGCATCTCAACCAAGAAATCAGCAGCAAAGGTGAGCAAGAGATTCCACTATCGACTATTAGTGGATCATTTGAAACCATTTCCAGATGCAAAGCTTTTGCGTTGATTTCCAGACGCCCTTGAATGTGGCTATATATATAAGTCAGGTGCACGCATGTGTCTTTGTTTTTTTTGGGTTTTCCCCCCACCCCCTCAGCCAACAAGCTAATGGTAATTGATTTGACTGACTGTGATTGATACAGCGTGTGTGTCTCCACAACGCGCTGCAAAGCACAGAGTAGGAGTGTTGCATCAACTGAAGGTGGCAGGATAGTGCGAGACAGCCACTTGGGCACTTGTTGTGCTCGATTTGGACGCGCTGTGTTCGGGTCTGTTCCCATGAGGTGACTCGAGAACATACGCGCAAGGTCACAATGTTGGGAAGCCCTTGCAACGAGGTGTTAGTAGAATTTCTTTCTTTTTTTTTTTTTTTTTTTGCTATCTGTGATTGCAAAAAACAGACGTGTCATAGCACGGGAAGAATTAGAGAGAAGATAGTGGGTAATGACACAAGCCCCCTCTGCTATCATGAGAAATAATAGCTTTTGACGTATCCAGGAGTCACCCACTATCACTTTCCTCTAAGGTTTTGAAATGAGGTTCAGGTCACTGACTAACACCTGATGCTGGCGGAGATTTGCCTCCTGGAAATCTGTGTGGATGACGCAGCCCCTGTCTCATTATATACAGTTAAATTAAAAAGAAAGCATTGATTATTTTTAGGTCCACCACACCCAGTTTTATGAGGTCAGACATTATTTTAATGACTGATGTCCAGTGCATACTAATGCTTCCCTAAAATATTGAAATTCCCATAACTCTACTGTAAATACACTTGAAAATAAGTAAGAACATTCCTGTCGTTCTGTCACACATGGTAGGTGATATATCCCTCAGAATAGCACAAAGATAATAATATCATCTTTCTTTTTACTTTATTTTTTTTCACATTTTTATGCTGGGAGAGACTGTTTGCTCATTTTAACCAGCTGTAAGGATGCTGTTTTTAGTGAGGTGCTCCCCGTGTGGACAGTGGTGCCCTGTAAAGTGACAAGTTGCATCATATAAAATGTCTTACGACCCCATTGCCAGATACGAGTTCACCAGGGACAAAAGATGAGTCACCATCCGCGAGGAGAAATGATTTCATGATTACATGACAGATTTGGTCTGTGTGGTCTTTCCGTTGCTCGTGTTTCAGAGAAACACATTTTCTTCCCACAGTTAAACTTCAGGCTTTTCCAGGCCTTCATCTCTACTTGAACTCAATCTTCACCAAAGTCCTCCAAATCAGATTTGATGTCTCACTTAGACTGCCTTATGGGGGGGGGGAACCTTAAGTTTTGTCAGCTTTTACAGTGCGGGATGTCCGGAGGACATTCATGTAACATTAAGCCAATTTTTTGAAGTGAGGAAATGCAGCTGTGTCTATGTGTTTATGTCGTGTCTGTCAGCCTGTAGGAGACAGGATGGTTGTCTTTATGACTCTAAGCAAGAGAGAACTTTAAGAGAGAGTCATGCAAGTCAAACGTAAGGTTAAATATAACAACTGAGCCCCATGTCAGCTGTTTTATATCGCAAAACATTGATGTTTAAAATTTTGTACAAAATGTTCTTTTATTAGGAGACATTTTCAACAATTAGAATCTCTTTTGAAACAGATGGTTCTTTCTGCTTATAGGCTCTACACGGTGTCAGATTGAATCCAATCAATAACTCATGGTCATTAGGGGAAAGTTATAGTCCAGCCTCCAGCTTTAATTGTCATGTTACATTATCTTAGATAGTTGGCACCATACACTTTTCAGAAGAGATTGGGTTTTATTTTTTTGGAGATACTTTCATGGAAAGCATGTCTGATTTATCTAAACTCAAACTCACTGGTTTTTAATAGGACTGCACAGTGGAACATTTGTGAGCGCTGTTGCCTTGCAGTGATTAGGCCATGGGTTCAAATACCAGCCAGGGGTCTTTCTGCATGCATGCTCTTCTCTGGACGTGTGACCTGTCTCCAGGTATCATGTTCATGGCCGTTAATTTCTCTCCCTACACTTCCCAGTGAATGTGTGTCCAGTTATTTGTCTTGTGTGTTCATGTGTTGCCCTGTGATGGGACTGGTGACCCGTTCATCCTTGTCCAATGAATCCAAGAGATGGACACTGTACACCAGCATCCACGCAACAATAATCAATTGATGTTTAATGGTGAAGATCTGCAGATTAAAATGACACCAGAATAAACATCTCATCGGTTTTTGAATAGTGGTTAGAATTTAATAATATTGTAATCTGCCTGGGGTCTGGAAAATCTTTGTTCAGTTTGCAGCAGACATAAAGTTTCACTTCAATTATTCTGAAATCAAGCTAAAGACAACATTGTTTGAATTGTAATGCTTTGCTTTTCACATAACTTATCAACGTTGCTTTTTTAAAATAGTTTGTCATAGTTATTTGCCCTGTGAACGCAGGAGCAAGATTTATACTTGCTGGCAGGGTGACATGAAGACTGAATAACAAAAGTTGTAATTTGTTTGTTATCAATATAACTTTATATTCAACTGATGAGACAAGAGGATGCAAAATGCAGGCTCTTGAGATAAAACAATGTAAACAGTAAACTTAAAGAAAACTAAGAATCACATTTCCCTATTTGTTAAACATTATAGTTTTAAACGATCCTTGATCAGTGAGGGATAACTAAGTTTGGATTTGACATTTAAAAGTACTGTAGTTTTCAAGAAGGCTCTGTCTAAGTGGTTGTAACAGCAAAAGGAGCAGAGATATCACTTTTGTGTCTATTCACAGATTCAGTTCGGGATAGAAGATTTGAACCTGTCAGAGTAAAACTCCATTGTATAATCTTCTAGTTCATGCTTTACTGGACTCGCTTTAACAATTTAAGGTTAAAAATAACTGTTTAAACTCAATTTACAACATTACAGTTTTCTTTAGCTGGAGCTTTTTGTCAACACCTGTTGCTAAGACTTGTTTCCAAAACACCCTTACCAGAGTTGCAGTGATTGATGGTTTTTTTCTGGGCCAAGTGATGGGCCTTTGAATAAGTTGTTACAGAAAATATATCCAATTATGTCTTCAAACATTTTGAGTTTTGTGTCCTTCATCAATTATACAGAAGCTGACTTGTAGGTATTTGTATGAACAAATACCTACAAGTCAGGCTTAAATCTATTAAATCTATTTTCTAGAATGTCAAACAGGGTTTGTGAATTTGTGACTTTTAAAAAGGAAGAGAGGCATGTACCTTAATACCTGGGAGAGTTTTTTCTCTGATTTATTTTTGGTGTTGCACTGTTTGCTCTTTATTGAAACATTTGTGTGCTCATTATTTTATATTAAACTCAGCTTTTGTAGCAGCTGAGATAGAAAACGAAGATTTCCATACTTTTCAGAAAGAAAGGAAGAAAAACAACTAATAAAAAAAATAAAAATTCCTTCACATGAACTCAGTTTGTTACCTAAGGTTGAATCCTCCCTTAAAATGATTGGAGTTACGTTGGAGTTATGTTGCCTCTCTATAGTTGTACATGTGGGATCTTGTGACTAAGATCCCACATGTTGCTAATCTTGTCTCTTTTCCCCCTAAATTAAATTAGTTCTGTTTAACCATAACTAAAATCTATTTGTTAATCTTATCTTTGACAATTAAAAAAATAGATAAAAAATAATTATGAGTGTATTTTCTTATTCTAGAGAGGGGGTTTTCAGTTTTAATGTATATATAAAAATATCTAGAGTTTTGGATTCTTCAAAGAGCTTTTGGACATCAGCATTTTTCTGTACTATAGTTAGTTTGGTGGTGCTGGAGTAAAGAAACTGTCCAGGTGTTAATGTCAGGTCTAAAAAATTCCTATGGCGTCGTGCAAAAGACACTAATTATGGAGCTGGTACATGAGCTGTCAAGAGATAACTGCCTAATATTAGCCGCATTCAGATTCAGCTAGAAATGTGTAATTAATTTCTAAACTAATGGACTGAAATCTTATTAGTGGTTTAAGACAAACTGGGCGAGAGGGAAGTGAGACAGAGCAGTAATTACCAGAATTGGAAACAAAGGTATTTTTATACCCTGTTTAACTGTGAGCCATAATGTTGGGACGGAAGCCACTCACATTTAGTCTCAAGAGAAACAGATATCTAGCGACTAGAGAGGAGAAATATTCCCCAGCTCAACTTTCATATGCACATATTTATAATCAAAGATGAGCATGATAGAAGACCCCATCAAAATGGAGACTTGCTTATAAGTCAAAGTGGCAGAGCCAAAGAAAACACTCGATGTATCATAGAGTGGGACTCAGGTTATCTTCCTTGTGCTGAGAAAGAGTCAGAAAATGAATTCCTCAGTTTCGTGAAGCTGTCACATCAGTTTTCACTTGAAGTGTGGAAGCTTAAAATGAACGAAGTGAATCCAGACTTCCTGGTGAAATACACCATCTGGTTTCTTTGGTCTTTAGAAGCAAATGAACTCCTCAAAATAGTCCAAGCATTTGTAGTTACAGTATTAGTAAAGTTTTGTTGTTAGTATATCTAATCGGAGATATTTTCACCAAAAATCTTCCTTGTCAAACATAAGGTTCCTATACAGTCTGGAAAAGTCTAAGAAAGCATGGAATATAATTTGTTCTTTGTTTCAAGTCTGGATGAAAACAGAAGAAATTTTTGTATTTTCGACCCAAAAAATTTGAAAGTGCAATAGAGAGAAACCTAACTAAAAAAATGTGTAGTGACCCTTAATCTGGATGATTTGGTTTTCTACAGCTTCTATATCTGGATATACTGCGAGAACAGATGCTTGCAAGCTATAAGTTTAACTGAAGACACACTTGATGAAGCTGTTTTCTGCCACTGTTTCATCTGGCTTTGCTTGGAAATTAGAATTTGTGAACCTCGTTAAGCAAGCACAGACATATTTTACAGCTGCTTTGCTACTTTGACAGAACAACTGGTTTTTGTCACTAAACTAAATATAAAG